GCTGACTCCACTGTGATGTGTCCCTGTCTCTCTCTCACACACACACGCGTGCGCACGCACGCACACACACACACACACAGACATACACGATGCGCAAAACTCCGCATTTGAACAGTCAATAGCAAATATTTAAACTAATAACAAAACAGTAGCTGATTCAGAAGTGCCAGATTGTCATAGCAAAGTCAGAATTACCTCCTCTCCTAGGTTCACGAAACGGTCGTCCATAAAATGCATTGCTGTTCTGTTGTAAGTGATCTTAAAGATTCCTAAATGCATCTACTTCTGGAAGGCCAAATAAAGTGCTTTTGCTTTCGCCTAGAAACACACAGCGTCTCCCTGACATGGCTGCTTCAACACTAACTGCGGTTACTGAAACCATGCCTTCTTTCTTTGCGTGCACATTTGCGGCATTATGCTAATATTTCCACATAGTGGGGTAGATATGTGGGGGCGTGTTAGAACGAGCTGTTTTAGGGGGGCGTGGCAGAGTCTTAGCTTTGATAAAGAATATCTCTTTGGTTTTGAGACTTTAGTCTTTGCAACTTCAGGGATCTTATCTATGCACAATCAGCTTGTAACACTCCAAAGAGAAAGGAAAACTTGAAATCGCATCATATGACCCCTTTAAAATAATTTGTATCACAGTTTCTACAAAAATATTAAGCAGGACAATTGTTTTCAACACCAAATCAGCAAGTTTGAATGATTTCTGAAGGATCATGTGACACTGAAGACTGCTGAAAATTCAGCTTTGCCATCACAGGTATAAATTAAGTTTAAAGTACATTAAACTGTACAAAATAGTGCAAAAGAGTTATTTTGAATTGTAATAATATTTTACAATATTACTGTTTGAACTGTATTTTAAATCAAAGCCTTTTTGAGCATATTATTCTTGCAATAATATTACAAAAAAATTACAAACACTAAAAATAAAAATGAACAAAACAATAAATAACAGGGTTACGTGTACAGTAACATAGTATGTTTATCCCAAATTAAGCTGTCACTCAGTAGGGACTAGCTAATTTGTGACACTGCGTGCTGGTTTGTAGTTATTGGTAAAAAAAAGAAAACTATTTGTTTGAAAATATTTTTTATAATATTGTTGGTAACTGAGTTTAAAGGTTGAGCTTGACTGGCTGGCCAGTGGTAAGGCTGTACTAATTATCTGATTTGAAATGATCTGATTTGTGGAGCATGAGCTTGTTTTATGTCTAGATGAATCTTCTCTTCTCATTCCTTTAGACATGTTAGCATCTCAGCAGCTTTCTGCACACATAAATTGTTCAGTTGATTGATAAAAAGTAACAAAACATCTACCCTGGTATACCTTCTCTGAAGAAGACTAGAGTGTGATACACATTGAGTTAATTCGCTTACAGCAGGAGTTCCCACTGGAAAAAAGCTAATTTTAAAAATGCTGAGTTTGACCGCCTCGTCCACTAATTTAGGACTCATTCATTACACTCAGTCTTTCCAACCCTGACATATTTGACCACGAAAGTGGGCTTGTTATTGTTGAGCTCTTTGCCTGTAAGTTTCATTGGCCTGTGGAAACACTAGTATAAGTACATTTTTGTGTTTGACCACATGTACATGCATTCATTCATCAATATTTCAGCTGCATGCTTCAGGGATTATTGCGGATTCTAAAAGGAGATGTTCGTGAAATTGACACGGGCAACTGGATTAATAGATTTCAGATGTACGTTGTTTCTAGAACAGCCGCTAAATTGTTAGTGCTGTGTGAGTAATGTGAGCAGACAGTGTCTCTTTGCATAAAGTGGTGTGTTGTACAGTTGTCTTTGGCTACAGACATTTTGCAGAAATTATATAGAGTCAGAATGAAAGATAAAGTGTGAAAGTTTGTAGGTTTTAAAGTGGCCATGTCATGTGGAATCAAATTATATTTGATCTTTTGAAATAAAGACAACTATAAAACATACTGTAACTTTCAGAAGTCAAAAAAAATTATATTAGTATAATAGTGATATTATAAATAATAGTGATATAAAAATAATAGTGATATAAAAGTAAAATGAAGCATAGTTGATTAAACCTTGTTTTGTTCTTGGCTGTATTTATGGCACATGCCATTCTGGATATCCTTCCAAATGATGAAATTAGTTTTTAACAAGAGCCCTGATCATTTCAGTCACATTTCAATGAGGACTGTTTAATGATCCTGTTACAATGTCATGCCGACTTTTCAAAGAGGCTGTTAGTAAAGGAGGAATCAGATAAAAAGTAGATTGCATGAATGGAGTAGTTAAAACATCTGCATGCGGGGGAAACTGGACTATGCTAACCAACCAAAACTTGACCCATTCAGTGCTGCAGCTCATTTAACATGTGCAGGGGCATTTCTTAACAAGCCAGCAGCACACACGCACGCACGCACACACACACACACACACACACACACAGTTTGGTTCACTGCCCTTGTGGGGACTTTCCATTAGTGTAATGGTTTTTATATTGTACAAACTGTATTTTCTATCGCCCTATACCCAAACCTACCCCTCACAGAAAACTTTCTGTGTTTTTACAATCTCAAAAAACTCATTCTGTATGATTTATAAGCTTTTGTACACATGGGGACCTCAATTTAGGTCCCCACGGTGACACAAGTCCCCATGAGTTGGTGTGTATACAGGTTTAAGTCCCCACCAGTGTAGAAAAACATATACACACACACACACACACACACACACACACACACACACAAAATGTAATGCTTAGGGTTAAACAAAGGCTGCATGCAAAATAGCTAATCATGCAAAATAACTAATATACACTGCCATTCAAAAAGGTGGGGTCTGTATGGTTTTTTTAATGTTCTTGAAAGGAAATTTATTTAATCAAAATACAGTAAAAAGTAACATTGAGAAAATTTGATTACAATTTAAAATAGCTGTTTTCTATTTAAATGTGTTTTAAAAAGTAATTCATTCCTGTGATGGTAAAACTGTATTTTCAGCAGCCATTACTCCAGACTTCAGTGTCACATGATCCTTCAGAAATCATTTTAATATGACGATTTGGTGCTCAAGAAAACCTGTCTTATTTTCAATGCTGAAAACAGCTGCTCAATATTTTTTTGGTTGAAATGGTGATGTTTTTTTCCAGGATATTCTGAAGAATAGAACGTTTCAAAGAACAGTATTTATTTAAAAGATAAATATTTTGTAACAGTGTAAAAGTCTTCACTGTCACTTTTGATCCATTTAAAATAAATGATAAATAATAAATAAATACAATCTTACAGACCCCACATTTTTGAATGGTAGTGTATAACCAAACAAGACCTCTTACGCTATAGCTGTGCTTTGTCCCTGACTGTTCAATCCACAAAATGTGTGGCTTAAAGTGATGACTTAGCAAACAGACCTAAAATATTTTGGTAAGACTGAGCTGCTTATTCACATGGAAACTCCACTCCACTCAGTCCATGTGGAAACTGAAATGCCTTTGAATGTTTCCATCTGCTGTTAGTGTGCACAATACTATAAAAGTGTTAGTATTCACTGCTCTGCGAACCTGAGGAGGCTTAGAACCATATAACGTCCCAATGCAAAGCTGTTCTGTCGATGAGATGAAAGCAGTAGATGTGTTGTTTTTCTGTGCATTCTTTTCTCCCTGTTTTACAAAATATAATATTCCTAGAGTTAATTTAGAAATTGCATCTAAATGAAGTCAATACCGGGCTGGTATATTTATAGTAGGTCAATAAGAAATACAATATAGTAAAATATGTAGTAATTTTTACTAATGCTAAAGTGGAAAAGAGTGTGGTGCTTCAAGTGTTGTGGGTTTTTTACCTTTTTATGCTTTTCTTTTTAGCCAGACAGCGTAGTTACGGTCAGTTTTTTTAGACTTCATGAATGAATGAATTAATGGTTTAAGGCATGTGTAATGAAAGAGCAGTTTAATGAGATTTTATTAATATCAGAGTACACTACCTTTCAAAAGATAAAGAAAGTAATACTAAGAGAATGCATTAAATTAATCAAAAGTGACAGTAAAATTACAATGATTTCTTTTCCAAATAAATGCTGTCTTTTTAAATTTTCTGTTCATCAAATAATCCATGATATTAATATGAAATGTTCCCTACGCAGCAAATCAGCATATTAGAATGATTTCTGAAGGCAATATAGTAAAATATGTAGTAATTTTTACTAATGCTAAAGTGGAAAAGAGTGTGGTGCTTCAAGTGTTGTGGGTTTTTTACCTTTTTATGCTTTTCTTTTTAGCCAGACAGCGTAGTTACGGTCAGTTTTTTTAGACTTCATGAATGAATGAATTAATGGTTTAAGGCATGTGTAATGAAAGAGCAGTTTAATGAGATTTTATTCATATCAGAGTACACTACCTTTCAAAAGATAAAGAAAGTAATACTAAGAGAATGCATTAAATTAATCAAAAGTGACAGTAAAATTACAATGATTTCTTTTCCAAATAAATGCTGTCTTTTTAAATTTTCTGTTCATCAAATAATCCATGATATTAATATGAAATGTTCCCTACGCAGCAAATCAGCATATTAGAATGATTTCTGAAGGATCATGTGACACTGAAGACTGAAGTAATGGCTGCTGAAAATTCAAAATTCAAAACTTTGCATCACAGTAATAAATAAGAAAATACAAAATATATTCAAAAAAGAAAGGGGAAAAAAAAACAGGTATTTTATATCATAAAACTATTTCACAATATTCCTGTTTTACTGTATTTTTGGTCAAATACATCGAGTCTTGGTGAGAAAAAATAACTTTTTTTTTCAAAAACAAAAAAATGACCCCAAACTTTTGAACAGTAGATAAAATGCACACATTAGACTTAAATATTACACGTAAAAAAACACTGTTGCCAGGTTGAATTGACTGTTTGGTTGTTTAGGAGCTGGCGAGCTGTGGATGGAACAAGAAGGAGAAGCATAGCCTTTCACCCAACGTTGTGGCCTTCACACGGAGATTTAACCAGGTAGGCACTAGTAGGTGTAGCCAAGAGTTACACTTTAAGATCATTTATTACAAGCTTTAGGCTCCAGTGTTTATTCCATGTTTGCTAAACTTTTACTTGTAAAATGTTTCCTGATGTAAGGGTAATTTCAATAAAATCTCAGTTTGAAAGACAGTTTCATAACAGGTATAGAGTGTAAGTTTTTTTCTCTCTCTCTTATTCACTAACCTCCCCTTTTCAGGGTTTGAGACCTAGGTCGTTTAGCACCACCAGAAATAACTCATATAATAGAAGTCAATGGATGTTAAATTGTTGTTTTGTAATTGATTTTTTTTTTTGAAAAGCAAGACAAAACAGTAAAAAGCACATTTTGGCTTTTTAATTTATGCAATGGTGAAAATTTCTTTTGCAAAATACATGGGGAAAAAAACTCAAAAAAACGCACCAAATACACAAAATAATGATCTTTAAAAAAGCATCATATGACCCCTTTAAATGCCCTGCCTCCATTACGTATCTTTGTCACGTCATTATAAGTGTTTGATCACCACATTTGAGTAATCATTGCAAAAAATGTGTTTATGTATATATATTCTGTTTATGTATATACTGTATTCTATATATAGTACCAGTCAGATGTTTGGACACACAAATGGGAAAGTCTCCAAACTTTTGACTGGTATTGTACTATAATATACACAAAGAATATCGGCCGATTTATCAGTATCTGCCTTTTTTTACTCCCTTGAGTGATCATTGCAAAAAATGTGTTTATGTATATATATTCTGTTTATGTATATACTGTATTCTATATATAGTACCAGTCAGATGTTTGGACACACAAATGGGAAAGTCTCCAAACTTTTGACTGGTATTGTACTATAATATACACAAAGAATATCGGCCGATATATCGATATCGGCCTTTTTTTACTCCCTAATATCGTTATCGGTATCGGCCCCAAAAAATCCATATCAGTCGGGCTCTATACTGAAAGAAGAACATCGACACTGTGTTTTATTCGCAAATACACAAGCTAATGCACTGCTGATTTGACACGGGGTGTGTTCAGATCGGTTAGCTAGAAACCTCACTAAATAGCTGATCAAGTAGATTTTATGCAGACTATTTTAGAGCCTACCATTAAGGCTTTGTGTTTAACACTTGAGCCTATTAGTGTAAAACAGAAGTCCATTAGGTGTCAACTTATACAAGCTGAAATGGAGGATGCATCTCGTTTCAAATCACATGAAATTAGCTCTTTTTACTGTATATTACAGTTTTTAGTGCAAACAGGTGCCTCAGATAGACAAATCCGTCATGCTGGTCCAACAGCTGCATTAACTCCTTTAGATAAATAAATACACTGCACTGGACACATCCAACAGAGAGGTCTGTTGATGGGTTTTTCTCCCTTTTTTCCAGACTAATGCCAGCCACTCTTCTTTTTCTACTTCAGATTTGCCACATTTTATTTTATTTTTTTTAGGTGTCTGCTGCAGTGGCACTAAAGGGACATTAAAGGCATTAGAAAGGGTCAGTGAAGAACATAGAAAATAATACCTGCACACAGTTTTACAACAGTGGATCTTAAACTCTCAGACAAAGTGCCACTTTTGATAAAACAAAACAACATTCAAGTACCACCCAGTCAAAAATATTCCTTGAGCCAGTTCGTCAGTTCTCACACTTTTACTGTAAATGCACAACACTTTCCTTATCCCCGTTTCTGAAAATACGCCTATAAATATCTGCTTACGAAGGTCAGTATGCATTAGGAATGAATATGATTTTTATTTAAATGGCATTTCATTTTGGCAGAGCTTAAATGTCTTGGAATTTTAATGTAAGTGGCCATTTGAGGTCTGCAATTATGCTTGCCATTTCGATCTTTTTAATGTCATCATCAACAACAAATGTCTTACATTTCCAGAGGGAAAAAAGGAAAGAATCAGTTTTGCTGCTTAGGTTCATTTGACTGATGTTCTGGCACTTTTTAAAGCCTGTAAATAAGAGGAAACTCTGTGTCTGAAAACCATTTTTCAGACAGTTTTTCTCATAAATCAATGATTTCCTGTATTTTTTTTCCATTAATCCGTCTTTGTTCATTTTAGGAGTGTATTAAAGTTTTGATAACTAGTGTTTGCTGCACATTTTGAATAATCGTTGCTGAGAACGGTTGTTGTTTTTGTTTGTTTTTTGTCTTCACAGCAATTACATAACATATACTGTAGCCATAAATTATATATACATCCATGTATTTTTAATTTTTATTTTTTTTCTGATTCCTAACTCTGAATTAAACAATGCACCATTACCATAGTTATCTCTGCAGAATAAGCGTTTAGATTTACTCACCATCTTTTCTTCTTTTAGGTCAGTTTCTGGGCAGTAAGGGAGATATTGACGGCTCAAACACTGAAAATCCGAGCAGAGATTTTGGGCCACTTCATCAAAATTGCCAAGGTGAGTCATTTTTTTTGTTAGTTATTTTTCTTTTGTCTGTGTTGCCATGGCAGCAGAAATATAACTGACCCTATAACTTTTATCAAGTTTAGTCATTTATTAATATTTGTATTCGCATCTGAATTGCATTTGGTATTCTAGTAATTGTCCTTGGTACTGGCATTACCATAACTAATGGTGTTTTATTAGAAGTTCAAGCGAAACAGGTTTTCGTGGGCACTTTCAAGAATTTTCCTTTAACAATGTGCAATTTTAATGACGTTATACAAGTCTTGATGGATTAAAGCCTTCTGTTTTAAGTCAGTGAGAATGAGCAGAGACATTGCACAGGAGTGGTGAGTGTTTACAGCATAAATTGAGGATGAGAACATCGTAAAAATGGCTTCATCTGACTGTGATCCATCTCAGACTTAGTTTAAACAGCCTGCGATGTATCAGTTTTTCCTCTGCCTCCAAATCACAAAAAATGTAATCCATTACATTTCTGAATTATCTTCAAATGACAGTAGTAAACAACACGGGGAGAATATAAAAAGCCCTTCTAGTATCAAAACTGTCCTCATTATTTCTCCCACTATAAGCATATTTTCTCATTTCAACATAACTGCTGTTCTCATTATCTTCTCTTGAATCATTTTGCGCATTTTATCTGACTTTCCATCTGTCTTGTAATTGCTTTTAAAATGTAATTTAGTACAGATACATCGTATTGAGAGTAAATATTGTGAATGAACTGTAAAATGAAATTAAAGATTATTTTAAAAATTGTGATTTTATATTATCAGCCCATTTCAGCTGTTCAAAGTAAATTGCTAACTTCTGAATCTGTAAAGTGACAGTAACATGGAATCTATTGCTTTTGAGTTTTATGTTTTAATTTCCAAATCAAAATAACACTTATATGATTAAAATTAAGGTTTTGTTTGGAAACTCTCATAAAAATTAGTCATTTTTAGTCTTTCTTCTGGATGTCCTTATTGCATGTGTGATTTCTTTTTTTTTTTCTTTTTTTAATTTAAGCTTTAATTTTATACATTTAAAAGTACATATTTCTTAGTAATTTTTAGTCTTTCTTCTGGATGTCCTTATTGCATGTGATTTTTCTTTTTTTAATTTTATACATTTAAAAGTAAATATTTCTTTTGAAGTGATACATCAAATATTTTTTTCCAAACAATCATGCAGATTAGAAGCTTATCTTGTCGTTCGTGCCAACAGTCACACACACAGAGAGCCACAGACTGCTGTGAAGTCAGTCAGCGTATGCTCTCCTGAAACTCAATGTACCATGACACAGGAAAACCCGCTGAATGACTTCTTAAGGTTGAAAACTCACCCTGCACTGCCTGCCAAACATGAAAAAGCTGTATACCGTGCTACCGGCAGACATGCCCCAGTAAGCCTCAGTGGGCTAAGCTATCGGTTATGCTAATGGATAAAGCAGATCAGCCAATGACTAAAAAACCAAAGCATCATTGCTTTTTCTCCTACTTTCCATAAGGGTGGTTGACACATAGTAGTTCACAGAGGTCAGCCTAGTGGAAAAGAAAAGAAAAGAATGACAACAGCATAACATGACCAGACTGGAAAACACATTGGAACAAACAAATGAAAGCAGAATATAACTGAATATAAAAGTCTGTGTACATTGACTGTATTACACTATTAAATGGAAATTAGAAGGCTTTTAATTTAGTGGGTCAGGTCCTGGTTTTTATTAAGACTATATTTGTATCTTACATGAGGCATGTAACTGGATAATGTTTATTAAGATTGTGTGTCTTTTCTGTCTTTATAGAAACTCCTGGAGCTGAATAACCTGCACTCTCTGGTGTCAGTGGTCTCTGCGCTTCAGAGCGCACCCATCTTCAGATTGAGCAAGACCTGGGCGGTAAGTAAGACCTTGGCGGGGACTTGGATATTTTATTTTATTTTATTTTATTTTATTTTATTTTATTTTATTTTATTTTATTTTATTTTATTTTATTTTATTTTATTTTATTTTATTTTATTTTATTTTATTTTATTTTATTTTATTTTATTTTATTTTATTTTATTTTATTTTATTTATTTTTTTTGTTCATGACTTATTTATGACTTTTATTTATGACATTCTATTTAGTCAACAGTTAGGACTATTAATTTTTTATTGTATTTTTCCATATTTATTTCAATTATAAAAACAAGCAATATGTGTATACTATAATATCTGTGTAAATAGCAATACAGTAAGTCACAAAAATAATTGTTTAAGATCATTATAAATATGCTTTGCATTTAGTTTTTAGTTATCACATCATACCTAATTATGATCATACATTTTTAATTTGTGATAAAGTATCAGAGTGACATAGCCTCTACAACAGAGGAATTTTCCATATTATTTTATTTAGGAAGACATGAGGAAAAGAAAAAAAAACTCATTTAATATTCTGTTCCCTTACAGGGGATTTATTGTGCATATCAGCCAAATGCTAGCTGTTCTGCTGATTTATAATTTAGCTGACAATGCAGCGTTTGTATTTATTTCTCCAGATAGCCCCAGTGCTCTTGGATTTCCATTGATCTTATTTGCAGAGATGTAGATGAGAAGGCCGTCTGAATGCATGAGGACAGTGAAAGAATGAGCCCATTGGATCCCATTCTGAACATTTAAGTGGCTTGGAAAATTTTGAAAGGGCTGTTTCTGAGACCTTGTTTAAAGTTGCCAAAGCTTTAAATCTATTTATAAGTATTTGCATCACCCCAGTTTGAGGTCCAAAACCTCTTGGCCTCTTTTCATGAGGAAAAAGTAGAAGGGCTAAACTCTATATGCTGTACAGACAACACTTACAACCAGCCCTCAGTGAGCACAACCGGATAGGCGGAGTACGTCAGGATACTTGTAGAAAATGATATGCATTTTATTGACATTTAATAAATAAGGAATTATAATTTAAATGTGAATTGTTTCATGATGGTAGTGAGTTCAGACTCACTGGGGGCCTTAATGATTTGGGATGCAAGTGGCAGAGTTGACATTCCACACTGAGCCACAGCACTTTTGCAAATTGAGAAAAGATGGAAAAAGAGGGAGCATGTTGTTTATAAGTAATTGCGGCGGGACCGTTTGTCTGATACCACAAGCCCAACTCTCTTGCCATACAGTTAAGCTTTGCCACAAGGAAATTTTGACAATGACATTATTAAATAGAGTATTATGTATCATATCATATTCAATAACGTACTTAGTTAAATTCATTGTAATTCATTGATTCTGTTTATATCACAACACCCAATTTAGTCCTGCAGTACAAACAATATGGCAATTTTCTAGATGATTCTTTTTATTTTTGGGTTTATGCTAAAGCTTGAGCAGTAAAAACTAAACACAGAAACAGACTTGTGGCTTGTGCAGTGAGGCATTGTAAAATGCCAATCACCTTTAAAAGGCCACAGACCTTAATCAGTGTTCTTTGCATCTCAAAATGCACCGAGTCTCATTCGAAAGACTGACATGTCACATTGGCATGACACTGTGTGCCTGCATCAGTTCCAGGGATAACTTCTGATTCATCACAGCCCTGTTTTAAGAGGTTTCTTTTCCATACGTTCCAGAACCCTGCAGCTTGAATTTGAGAAAATGTGCACATTAAACTATGGTCCGGTTTTAATTATAAATCGGAGCGTTTCATTTGTTGTCCTATTCATAATGAAAAGGCACTTGCGTGTATTTGCTGACAGTTTTGCCTGACTATAATGACTGTTTTTGGTCTTGCTGTGCAAATGGTTTCTGTTTCACTGCTCATGGCACAGACTGGATTGAGTAATTTGTTCCAGCCAATTTCTGAACCGCTTGACTTCAAGGCCTTGTTTCCACTTATTTGAAGATTAACTGCTGATTTCCCAGTGGGCATGCAATGAATTAGGAGGAATATGGACAGATTATTTATGAAGATATAGATGTTATATGACTTTATCATTATATTCAGAAATGATTGGTCTGTTCTGCTTTATAAATGGATTCTGTCAGTCATGAAGTAAAAATTAAGCAGTATTACAATGTGTATATGATGGGCTCCATAAGCCTGAGATCACTTAAAAAAAAAAGGTAAAGGAAATAATCATAGGATTAATAATAATAAATTAAACTCAAGATGCTCTTTGGATCATTTTATTCATGCTTCTAGTTAACAGTTTGGACTTGGACTCCAAATTTAGAATACAAGTAGTCAAGAAAACAATTATAATAACACAAATAGAAATATACATAAGCCATATGTATATACAAAAATATTTATGTGAATACATAAATCATACAATTAAAATATTTTAAAGATCATGAGAAATATGGCTTGCAAATATATTTAGTATTTTGTTATGACATCATACCGGATTATGATAATCAGTTCTGAAATATATGTATGTATGTATATTATATTTTTTTCACAGCCTCTATAGCAGACACTAGAGGAATTTTAAATATTATTGTATTTAGGAAGACTTGGAATCTTTTAGTTGAGTTGAGATTGGTTTAGTTTAGTTTAGTTTAAAGGAATTGTTCCCCCCAAAAATGAAAACTCTTTTGTCATTTACTCACTTTCAAGTGTTTTGAAAACCACTTTTTTTCCCTTTCTTCTGCACATTGGTATTTCTGATAATATAATTCATGATGTTTTTTCCATTGAACAAATAATGCAAAATAGAAGCATGTTCCGTTCAACTCTCAGACTTACAAAAATGTGAGGGGTGTACTCACTTCTGTGAGATACTGTATATATATACACACACAGTGTGGGAGTATGAAGATTTGACAAGCATTAGAAGGAAAGATGGAGAAAGGAAGTATTAAAAGAGCTAAACGGCATGTTCACAGAAAAAGGGAAAGATGTTAAGCTTTTGGCAAAGAGATGCAAGATGGAGAAGCATGGATTTGTTGACAGTCAGACAGATGATCTCCTGATTCCAAAGTGTATCTCAACATTCTGTCAGTGTCACAGACAGGGTCCAAAATGAATACTTACAAACTGTCAAATACAAGTCAAAATTTGCTTTGGCGAATAAATAAAACCAGTTGGCCAGTCATTTTATAAGGAATTGCAACATAGTACATAGTACTCCTTTTCTCTTGCATGATTCGTTCTTCTACTTCTATTTTCCAATAACTGATCCCCTTTTCTGCTCTTGTTCCCGTCTAAGTTAAATAAAAAAGACAAATGACAAATCCAGCTCTTAACATTGCAACTATGGCTAAGAAGCTCATCCCCATCAAATTCAGTCTAAGTGGAAAGTTGTTCTGAATGTGTCCCTGAGCTCAGTGCCGTTCCGTCTTTACATCTGCTGATATATGGAGGCTTTAACTGCTATCTGGAATGGCTACAGAGCACAGGGCTGACCTCCATGAACTGTGCTGTAATCAAAGTCAGTCATGTGTTACTGCAAAATAAAATAAAGATGTTAGTGGTTGAAGGAATCCCCTTACTTTTATCGCCCTCAGAGGGATTGTTTAGCACTGTGTATGTGTCTATGAGAATGAGTAATGCCACTGTGGCAGCAGCTCAATCCCTGAACTCGAGGAAGGAGGCTGGCTGCTGCTGTGGTCTTGGTGGCGGGTGATGGAGGCTTGATAAAGGAGATGAAAAAAAGCTTTTGTTTTGGCATTTGGTTGCTCTAAATCAGGCAGAAAATGACTAGTCTTGTTGCTGAGATGGTGCACATATGCACATGGAAATCACATTCACTGAAACATACTGGTGCAGTTATAATTTACCCTGTTTGTCATTTGTAATTGCTTTGTAATTAGTTTTTCCTTAAAATATCATAAGCAGTCTCCCTTAGCTTATAGTGCTTCTTCAAATCTTTGTCATAATATTATCATTTCCACACCAGGCTCCATGATTGATGGTGTCACAATCTAACTTTCCTGCCGTGGATTATCTCAGCACTGCAGTTTCTACCACTTCCTTTGCTGAATAAAATGGGGCTTGCAACTGTTTCTCTGTTGCAAGTCCAAAGGAGAAAAATCCAAGTGGTTCGTTAAATTCTTCAGGTTCATTTTAGGCCAACATCTAAATGATGAATGAGAGCTAGCTTCCTGTCAAGTCAGCTTTCCATTCCCCAACTATTGTCTGAGTATGAAGCTAATGTAACATAAATTTATCCAAAAATCAGGCTCATTGGAGTAGCTTGGCTGGTAAATGACTAATGTAGTCTAATTATTACAGTCTTTCAGTGTCTTGCAGATGCATGAGGTTTGAATGTGGCATTCAGTTTCTTACACTTTCCAAATACCAACTCCTTCATATAGATATGATAGAAAATATGTAATTGTTTTGTTTTCCTTGTTTTGTTATTTAAAGGAATAGTTCACCAAATATGTGACCCTGGACCACAAAACCAGTCTTAAGTCGCTGGGGTATATTTGTAGCAATAGCCAAAAAAACATTGTATGGGTCAAAATTATTGATTTTTCTTTTATGCCAAAAATCATTAGGATATTAAGTAAAGATCATGTTCCATGAAGATATTTTGTAAATTTCCTACTGTAAATATATCAAAACTTAATTTTTGACTAGTATTATGCATTGTTAAGAACTTCATTTGGTC